ATTAATGTATCCAGTTCATGCACAACATTGCATGTGTATCATGTCAGGCACTTTTTGCCAGATTCGGTAGTGGTAAGCTGGAGGTCTTGTGAGTGAAGAATGAATATAAGCTAATGTGTGTTCTTGTGTGTTTGTGATTCTAAACACAATAGCCTTTAGGGATTTGTACTTCAGGTCTAACATCAAAATGGGAGAAATGTTTCAAATTACTGTTTTCATGTTTTTAAGTATACTGTCTAAAACTTAAAACTCCCTGAATTTCTTCCTACAGTCTCCAAGGCGTCACCTCTCAAGTGGCAAATCCTAAATTGTCTCACAGTTAGAAAAGAAATGTGTTCAAGTTTTTTACCAAGCACAAAATAAATTGCTGTCTTCTTACCCTGCAATGGCTCCAATTAAAGAATCCATCACTTCCTCCTTCTGCACCAACAAGTTTGACCATGGCACTTTACTTCAACATTACTTTAGCTGAGTTCAAAGCTCTATAGCTGGAGATCCAGGCATGAGGTCTCTTTCTCCTTTTGTCCCTATACTTCTGTGATGAGCATGACAGTAAATGTTTTTCATCCTTCTGTAAAGATGTGAGAATGCCTGAGTGGCGATACGTGCAAAGCCCCCGCCAGACTGCTCTTTTGAGTATTTTTCTAGTCAATACTAAGACAAAGGATAAGGGGCAGGGGGAGATTTGTGTCTGTAAGATGCACATATTGATTTAGAAAACAAAAAGCTAAAAGCTAAAACGGATGTAAGAAGATAAAACTATTTTCCCACCCAACAGTATGATTTGTGTCTAAAGCAGCCATTTCACTGAATAAAATGAACAAAACCTTGCCCTACGTAAAAGCAGAGAAATCAACCCCTTTAAACTGAATTTCACTGGAACCCTTCCAGTTTGTATTTATTGTTAGAGTGTGCATCTATGTGTACATTATTATATGATTTTGTTTTGGAAAGCCGGATTATTCTCCAAACCCTTGTTAATCCATGTAAATTTTAGATTAGTCTCCATCAAAATGGATCCAAACAGGACTTGTCGCTGTCTAAAACCTTTTCTATTTATCTCCTGGAGTTTTGTCAAAGCTTGCAAGCATCTGTTTGTCCATCCATCAATGCATCCATCTTATTCAAAACAAGCATTTGTTTCTAATTTGTTTTGTATAGAGTAGCATTGAACAAATAATATAGACATTATTTTACTTTGACAAAACTGTATATTGCAGCAAAGAGCTTTGTCTGAATGAAATGAAAACCTGACATTC